GTGTGTGTGTGTGTGTGTGTGTGTGTGTGTGTGTGTGTGTGTGTGTGTGTGTGTGTGTGTGTGTGTGTGTGTGTTTCCATAAAATCCATGATTCAACCATATTTTATCATTATCTGTCACATCACAGAATAACAGAAATACATTTTGTTACATATGTCATTTTGACCAGGTGCAGTTCAAAACTTCCTTATCTGATGTTCATTATCATGAAAGCCAGAGCTGAACCAAAGTTTGGTGAGGTCTGTGTGAAAAGATTCATATGGAGCCGCCATTTCAAGCAGAACCTAATGCAGAATATACCAAGAAACTCAGCACCACTCGTGTTGTTTACTGTTCACACTTGCATGCTCATGCATTCATTGTCTCACACATCTTATTGCGTACAAGAGATAGAAGTAAAACAGAAAATCAAACCAGAATTTTTATTATTAATACTAATACTAAGTAAAAGCTTTGTTTGTTTTATTTTGTAAAAGAACCTGATTAGAATCCACAATTGTTCAACAAAACAAAAATATTTGTATAACCAAAGGAATGTCAGTTCTGTTCACATTCACATTGATCCTCTAACTTGTGAATAAACACTTTCTTCAGTCAACTCTCTCTTCTTCTTGCCTCTTGGTGCTTCACCTCCAGAGAAATGTAACGCAGCATAATTCAGATCCTGTCCGACTCCACTCTGTGTAGAAAATTGTAGTTTTATTACAAAGTTATATTGTTACACCCAGCTCTAAATTCTCAATTGTTTCAGTTACACAACTATTCATATTGTTTGGTAATCATTACTTACATTATCATGGTCCAGTTGGTTCATGTCATTGTTCCTTGTTTCTGCATATATTGAACAAATACAAAATTTTTATGCTGGAAACAAATTTTGTGTCAGAAAAATACACTTTGTCATCTAGAAGGTATGCTTGGACAAACAAGTGCTACAGTACAAAGACATTTCTAAACAAAACTGTGAATACAATAAATATATTTTTAGAGCTGCATTGAATGTTAAATATTTAATCATTCAATTGGTATGATTATTTGTTTTTGTGTACTAAATCTCTACCTTATTAGGTTTTACAGCCTGTAATACAATAAACAGCACTTACCTTTAAGCTGCTTACTTGCTGATTTTTTCATTCGGAAACAGATGAAAACAATATTTACAGTCACAGAAATGGCCAGGCAAATTATTATGACCATCAGCAAATTAATTTCGGAACTTGGTGTTTCATCTAGAAAAAATAAATAAAAATCATACAGTTCCATCTGGAAAAACATTTCTTGAATATCTCTAGTATCACAAAATCCTACCCATCTTCARGTTTGTTCTGCTTCCAAATAAGATCTGTCCACATGTGGCCACGGCACAGAGGTAAGTCCCAGCATCAGAGGAGCTGATGTTCTTGGAGAACTGATACCTGCATCCCCTTTCAGTGCCACGTTTCTTATCACAGTGAGCAGCTCTCTTCCCATCAGTGTAGATCATGTCTGGGTAAGACTTATCAGACCGGGCTCTGAACCAGATGGCACCGAGATCTCCTGAACACATCTCATTATTGGAGTCAGAGAGAATTGAACATTGAATTTCCTTTGAGTCTGCTGGATCTGATACAGTCAACTGATGAACAACATTGTAGTTCAATGTTCTCACAGTGTCTCCTAAAAGAATATTATTAAACACAAGGTTATTTACAAAATTACAGACAGATTTCCTGTGAAAGGCACAGTTCCCCTAAAGCACTGAAGCACTAACAGGGGAACTAATTTCCTTACTAGTGCTTTAGGGCTTTTGTTAATTTTAAAATTTAATAGTGGATTAGCACTTGCTAAATTTATAGGCTAAATTTAGAAGAACTAACCGAGGTCTTTAAATGTTATTGAGGGTGAAAGATTTCACACATTTTGTTCATGTGTGTGTCATTTATCCACCAGGTGACATGTTGACAAAGAACTCAAATAAGGCTGTGGAATTTCGTTGATAAGGCTTAAGAGAGCAACATGGCAACATGTGACATGTTGTCTGTTGAAGAATGTTCCATGGGTCAGTTTATTAGGGCATTAGAATTAGCTTTTGATAAAAAATTTCAGGACATTAGTGCTTTAGAATTAGGGGACCTAAATGTTTGAGTTAGTGCTTTAGGGCTAGTGAAATTAATTTTTAGATTAGTGCTATCCACCACTGCAGATTTCCAGGGGTTAGATCAAAAGCACTTATTCTGAAGACTCAAGTAAACTACTTAGTGTATGTCCATAATTCTGGGGGATAAGATAGGATTTTGTAAAATTATTATTTTATGTATTTACTTTGTTTTTTGCAAAGCTTTCAATTCTCTTAGAAAAAATTTTGGACTCGCTAAATCCTGTTCAGGGTCACAGTGCACTTTGAAGGACCACAGTTTAAAAGAGTTTTAAACACACATTCAATATGTTTAACTGGTTTTCAAAAATGGTCATTTGTCAGTAGTGTACTTCAAGAAAAAAAACAATAATTAGACAAATATGGTCTGTAAAAAAAAGTCTATCATTAGATACAGCAGCTGTTAAAGACCTAAGAACAAATTGCAAAGATTTTAATTTTGTTTAGTTTTTTATTATTATTTTAGTAGTAGTATTTTTATTTTATTTTTTGAAGGGGTTGATTTAAAAAATTCATTGTGTAGATGCCACTGTGCGTGTGTTTCCTCCTACGTTAGATAATTAGACCTAGTAATTACCTTTTACTGACAAATAAATCCCACTCCATGTAGCTGTAGTCCAGTCCAAATGAGCACAGTGGTACATGCCTTCATCCTGTTGAACTGTCCTCAGAATTGTTAGTTTGCTTGTTTTTTCATAATTTTTTGCACTAAATCTTGAAGCAGGAAACTCTGATCCAAAGGTGGGTTTTATGTTTTTTTGATGCATCACAATTAATTTCAGATTATCTCCTGCGCTCTGCTTGTACCAGTGAATCAATGTGCTGCTCTGAGATTTATTTGAAACAGCACAGGTCAGATTCACGGGTTCACCAAGAGAAACTGTGATCACTGGGACCAAAGCATCTGGGAAAATACAAATGAACAAAATATCCTTGAAGTTAAGTAGTAAGGAGAAATAAAACAAACAAGTATCACAATTTGTGGGTACCAAAATGATCAATTATTGTACAAGATCTATAAATAACACTTACAGCCTTGATAGAGGAGAAGCAGTGTGACCCACAACAGAAGCATCTTGACAGACCAAATGCTTTTCTCAAGACTCTATGTCTTGAAAGACTAAAGGAGGCGTGGTAATGAAGAGTGTCAAAAGCATCTGATTGGTTTCCGCGTCATTCTTTCATTGTACATTTTCTGTCACCTTTGTCTGCTCTGTCTGAAGTTTATTTTTATAATTAAATGATTGGTTTATTTAATAAAATACTTTTTAAAATTTCATTTTACTAAAAAATGACATCAAAACAAACTGTTCTAATTCCAGGTATGACTTATGAGAATTGTTACAATAAATAATGATAATTATACAGATGCATTTTAAACTAACCACTGGGAAGAAACAAGTCAGTGCATCTCTTATGGCAGTCCCAAGTCAGAGTAAATAGTGAGGGTTTTGTCAGGAAGGACATCTGACGTAAAACACTTGCCAAAACTAACATGTAAGTTAATCAAAAAAACACCTAAGTGGATCGGTCGAGGTTTGTGTTAACCAGTGGCGGCTGGTGGACTTTTCTCCAAGGGGGGCTACAACTCCAAAATAGGCACATCTCCAAAAGCAATCAAATATGTACTGAGTTGTTTCACGACAGCATATTTACTAAACAAATGAATATAATAAAACATTCTTACAATGTCATGTTGTGTTTCATTTTTTGTGCATAATGGGTTCTTGAATGGGTGTTCTTAAATGTAATTTCATTGTGCAAACGATGAAAATAAAGGCTTTCATCATCATAAATTTTACCCTTCTGTTACTGAGAAGCGAATTTCTTCATGACTCTAGTTAAAGTCAGGAATGTTTTAACAAGATTCTTCTCTATTGAGCATGGCCAGTGCAATGAGGTGTGATGTGTACCTGAGGAAAGTCTGGATGGTCAGAGGAGACGTGATGAGAGTCTTCAGCAGAGTCACAGTCTCTGAAGGTGTCCTGCAGATTGTTCTCCACAAAGAGCTGGTACAGAGCCTCAGCACCACTGCAGCTCCTGAACTAGATCAGACTTCTTGGTCCTGTTCAGCACTGGATGAGCCTCCATGGTCTTCAGTGCTGCTTCAGAGAACTGTCCTGCAGGAATCTGTCTGTCTGCAGCAGTGTAGCACTGATCAGGGCTCTCATTTATAAAGGAATTGTGTGGAAACCATACTAAAAGTGAACGTACGGCCAAAAGGCGGAAATGGCGTACGCCATAAAAAAAATTAAGATTTATAAAACCGTGCGTACACGTTTCTGCGCACCTTTCATTTATAAATCACAGCCGCACGTCAGAGTTTGTGCACGAGGTCCCGCCTCAGGTTCTACCCTCTACACACCCACACTCAACCATAAACAGTCAATGCAAAGTACCTCATGAATGTTAAGTTGTATTTAAATCAGTCAGATGATCAATACCTACAAAAGTGATTGGTTCAGACATGCTCCTCCGTGCGTCTGGAGGATGACAGGTGCTGACTGACAGCTGCTCACGTGAACAGAATGTCTGTAATTGACACAGATTTTCCCTCATTTTGCTTTAGAGTAATCTAATGATTTTTATAAAAAAAAAACAAATCTCAGCTTCAAATAAATTTTCTCCCAGAGCCTGCAGGATGATAAAAACAATGAAAATTAAATTAAATTAAATGTCAGATAAAATTAGAAATAAGTCCATCGCTCTTCTCCTCGTCCTCTCCCCCTCCTGCCTGCTCTGTTATCTGCAGCAGACACCACACACACACACACACACACACACACACACGCATGCACGCACGCATCCCCCCACACACGCGTGACAAACACAGACTTTAAACATGAAGTTTTATAACATTCACACTGGCGAGGTGGATGCGCCCAGCGCGTGTATCCAAAGCGTGACTTTTGCTGTCCTGCTGTTCTTGACGGCGAGGGGTCTGTGGGTCAGGGAGGGGTCTGTGGGTCAGGGTCGTCTGAGGAGGAAGGAGATGAAGAGAGTTGCACACGGGAACTTTTATTTAAGATTTAAGTTTTTTTTATTTCAAAGGTCCTCATGGCTCAGCAGCAGAAGCATAAATATTACTGTTAAGAAAGCTGATGATAAAGTTGGAAAAAAATGTAAGTCTGATTCTGAAGGTAAATTAAATATCTGACAGTGACCATTACACAGTGTGGCTCTAAATTCTTCACTTCACCATCTGTGTCGCAGTTTCACGTCTCCAAAATGAGCGTACGCATGGGTCAGAGCTGGAGTGAGGCACCGCACATTTTCATGTCAAGTTTGGATTTTATAAATCACAACCTTGGTGTAAAAAGTGGCCTACGCACGTTTCTGGGCTCATATTGTGCGTATGCCAGTTTTATAAGTCCGACCCCAGATGCTTTGTGAATGTCTCAAGATGATGTCACAAACCTAAAACAATAAATGCACAAATTTAATTCAATATGAAGATGGCTACAAGTGAGCTTTCTAATATATATTTAATATATAGAGAACAATTAATGTTATTTTAATAACAAATTGTTGCACTTCTAAGGTAAACTATTAAATTTTTATTTTAAAAATGTATTCATTTTACTAACAAAACAAAATAAACTATGCACAACATAAGAAAAAATATAAATAAAATGAAAGGCAGCAGAAAGACGAAAAATATCTTCTTATATCTGCCACTTTAAGAATAAATTCAAACAATAGTAATTTACAAAAAAAAACTAAACAGAAACATAAAAAATATCTATATTATATTAAGTAGTGTTCACCATTATATTATATGCTGCTCAAATATAAAGGGAACACCAACACAATCTAACTACACCACGTTCTTGCTCAGTTTTTATTGTTTCTGGCTTATTCAGTCCAAGCTACTTCACTTTAAGTTTCTCCCCATTTGTTCTGCTTTGAAAAGGTTTAGATATAAGAGACTTACGGTGTTTTCTCCATCATTTCTCATTTGATGTTCTCCAAAATCCACCTCGTAATGCCCTGTTGGCTGTCGCCTTATGACGTCGAGTCGTCGACACAGGTGGACCCACCCACTACCGGTGTGTGTTCGCTGGTCAGCTGCGAACACAGGCTTTTTATTCTTTTGCGTTGAGGACTTACTGCGCACAACCAAAATCTTCACGAGTTATGTATGGGAATCTGGGGCGGCGAACACTGAATGACCCGGAAGTGACTCGCACGAAAATGCTCATGAGTAAATTGGAAGTTCACACATCAATAACTATAAATTATTTATTTTGCTTATTATTTATATATAATTTATTTATTTATTTTGCTTATTAGAAAACATATATACAATATTTTGTCGGACCATTTAAAACATTTTATTTTTTTATTTTTTTTTTTTTTTTCATATTTGTGTACCAAAAATAGAGGGGGCGGGGCGGTGAACGTGCGCCCTCTATTGACCAGCCGCCACTGGTGTTAATGACAACCGCCAATGGTGCTGTTGACAAACAGCACTGGTGACGGAAATTGTGCTAAATTTAGTTGAAACCACAAGAAGGGAAGTCAAGAGTTTAAGACTGAGGGTGACAACTCTAAACATAGGAACAGTGACAGGCAAAAGTATAGAAGCTGGTTGACATGATGCGAAGAAGGAAGGTAGATGTTTTATGAGTCCAAGAGACCAAGGCAAAGCTCTCAGCATTGGAGCAGGGTTTAAACTGTTTTATCATGGTGTGGACAGAAAGAAAAATAGAGTAGGGGTAGTCATGAGGGAGGAGTTAGCAAAAAATATAGTACAGGGGAAAATAATCAGATAAGGTAATGAATGTGAAAGCAGAAATAGATGGTCTGGTGCTTGATGATGCTAGTGGCAATACTGCAGGTTGGATATCAGGTGGTAGAGAAAGAGGAATTCTGGAAGGATCTAGATAAAGTTGTGGAGAGTATTACCAGGGAGAAGAGAGTGGTGGTCGGAGCAGATCTGAATGGATATTTTTGGTGAAGGAATCGGAGATGTGGAAGTGATGGGTAGATTTGGTGTCAAGGAAAGGAACCAGGAATGACAAGATGGTAGTGGGTTTTGTCATAAGGACAGAAATAATTGCAGTCAATACCTCTTTCCAAAAGAGGGAGCAACATAGTGTGACCTGTAAGAGTGGAGGTAGCAGTACACAGGTAAGGTACATACTGTGTAAAAGAGAAAACCTGAGGGAGATTGGGGACTTTGCGAGAGAGTCAGACAGCATTGGATGGTTGTGTGTAGAATGACTGTTGTGGTGGAGAAGAGGAATGGAGTAAAATCAGAGAAGATGACCAAATGGTGGAAGCTGAGGAAGGAAGAATGTGGTAAATAGTTCAGAATGGAGGTGTTAAAGTCTTTGGGTGATAGTAACAGCTTTCAGATGACTGGACTAGTGCAGCTAGATAGAGATAAGAGAAGATGGAGTTGGAGTTTTGTCCCGAACACTGTCAGAGAAGATGCATACTATGATTGTTCACCTTGGAACTGTTTTGGTGTTTCTCACATTTGATCTATTGACCTACTTCATTTTTCTTATTCTGGTCTTTTTTTTTTTCAACACAAATTACATTCACCATTTTCATGCAACAATTCTGCAAAAGGTTATGTTTATTTTGGGTTTTTTTTTTTTTTTGGTTCATGAAATGCATAATTGAATATGTTATCCTTAGCTGTTACATGACAATAACAGAAATATATTCTGTTACATCTAGTTATTTTGACCAGGGACACTTCAGAGCTGTTTTACCCGATGTTCATTATCATGAAAGCCAGCGTCAAACCAAAGTATTGTGGGATCTGTGTGGAAATTTTCACAAGGGTCCTTCACTTCAGGCTAAGCCTGATATGTTCCACCAAACTCAACACCATTCATTTATTGTTTATCGTTCACACGTAATCGTTTGTACATTTGACATGTCAACAATAAAAAAGAATGACAAGTTAGAATACAATAAACCAAAAGAAATAATATTATTAAACTGTTTTAGTACCAACTACTGTTTTTTATTCATATCAGACATGTTTTTTCCGATAATATAATTACAGCACTCATAAAAGCTGTCCATATATAACAAGATAAAAAAGGTTTAATTTTTGCAGTAAAAAAAGACTTTTCAGCTAAAGTTTGGATGTTTGTTTTATTTTGTAAAATAGTCTTTCCATGTGTTATTTCCCAAAAGTACAAATGTGCATAAAATTAATCAGCAAATCTAAAATATTTGCAAGAGCAAAAAAAGCAGTTCTGTTCACATTCACTTTGATCCGTTAACTTGTGAATAAACACATTCAGTCCTCAAATCTCTCTTCGTCTTGCCTCTTGGTGCTTCCCCTCCAGAGAAACGTAATGCAGCATAATTCAGATCCAGTCCGACTCCACTCTGTGTAGAAAATTAGATTTTTACCTCAAAGTTACATTGTTACACTCAGCTCTATATTCTCAATCATTTCAGTTAAATAACTAATCATGTTGTATTATTACTTACATTATTATGGTCCAGTTGGTTCATTTCATTGTTTGTTTCTGCACACATTAAACAGACACTCAAACTTTGCTCATTAATAATTTGCATTTAGCTAAAACAACTCATCTTTACCTTATTAAGTTTTACAACGTGTAATACAGTAAACAGCACTTACCTCTAAGCTGCTTACTTGATGATTTTCTTATTCGATACCAGATGAAAGCGATATTTACAGTCACAGAAATGGCCAGGCAGATTATTGATACCATCAGCAAAATAAATTCAAAATTTGRAGTTTCATCTGGAAAACAACAACAAATAGTTGCTTCTAGAAACGTTAATTTATGGTGCACTCATGAAAAACATTTCTTCGATACCTATATTTTTGCAAAATCCTACCCATCTCCAGGTTTGTTCCGCTTCCAAATAAGATCTGTCCACATGTGGCCACGGCACAGAGGTAAGTCCCAGCATCAGAGGAGCTGATGGTCTTGGAGAACTGATACCTGCATCTCCTTTCAGTGTCACGTTTCTTATCACAGTGAGCAGCTCTGTTCCCATCAGTGTGGATCATGTCTGGATAAGACGTATTGGACCGGGCTCTGAACCAGAACACACCATGATCTCCTGAACACATCTCATTATTGGAGTCAGAGAGAACTGAACACTGAAGTTCCCCCGAATATGCTGGATGAGCTGGACCTGAACCTGGTGTCTGCTGAACTACGTTGTACCAAGATGTCCTCTCAGAGTTTCCTATAATAAAAATAAAAAAGTCAAGCACTATGATTATTATGTCAGTAGGGTGAAACACTAGAATGAAAAGAATAATAACAGTTTAGTGTTACCTTGTACTGACAAATAAGTTCCTGTCCAAGTAGCATCTATCCAGTCCATATGAGCACAGTGATACATCCCTTCATCTTCTTTAATTGTCTTCAGAATTGTCAGTTTGCAAATGGTTGATTCGTAAGTTGTTTCATACCTTGAAGCTATAATTTCAGGTCCATAGCTGGGGTTTGTATTTTTACGTAGCATCGTAATCAATTTCAGATTCTCTCCTCCACTCTGCTTGTACCAGTGAAGCCATGTGACGGCCTGATACGTCTCAGTGAAAGTACACGTAAAAGTCACAGTTTGACCAGGTTGAACCGTCACGACTGGAACTAAAGAATCTGCATAAAATAAGAAAAACAATAAACTCAACTTTTTCCTTAAGTTACTTATCTGGGAACATATTTTAGCCCGTGTAAACAGTACTTACGTCCTTGATGAAGAAGAAACAGTGTAACCCATACCAGAGTCATCTTCACACTGGCCTCATCGAGACGTTTGATGCTTAAATACCAGAGGGAGGTGTGGTGATCCAGACCATCAAATGCTTTGATTGGTTACCTCAGTATATACAAAGTGCACTTCCTTTACAGCAAATTTTAAATAATCTTAACTGGAAAGTTTTCATTCCTTCTACAGCAAATAAAATTAAGTTTTGATAAGGAGAATATACAAATCAAGTATAATTTCAGGCTTTGTTTTTTTCAATTTCTTTTTAAAAAGTTTAAAAGAAAATTCTGGCAACAATATTTTTTACAAGAAACATATTAGAAGATGTGTACGAACTAAAACAAATGGAATAAAATATGAATAAAGAATCTCCAACTTGCATCTGCAGCTTTTGATCACTTCATCACCACCTGAAAATCGGCCACAGTAATTAAAAATAATTTAGATTTTTGTTTTTTGAAAAGAACTTAGATCAGTGTCTGAGACTCACATTACAGCTGTAGAAAGGTAACAATACTGAAACTAATGAGACTTGCGGAGATCTCTGAAAAATATTATCATTGCAAAAGGAGAATTATATAAAACAATTGACAATGTAGCTTGCAAACTGAAACGTACAAAAATGTTATGCAGTCAAACATGTTGAACTAGAACTGAAAAGCAGTTATGATCGGGGTCCAAGCCTATTTATGTATGTCTACCTTGGCCAATATCGTCCCCAGAACCCTGTCAACTTTTGCGCCACAGAGTTGTAACATGAGGAGTATGTATAATGTCTAGGAGTATGTATAGCAGCTATACCACTCCGAACATACCAGATCTCCTTTGATCTAGGAAGCTTAGCAGGATCGGTCCTTATTAAGACTTGGATGAGAAACTGCCTGCCAATATTGTGGTAGGTTTTTATTCCCCTCAGTAAAGGTATGATAAAATCTCTAACGTCTTCAGCTGTAAAACTGTTAAACCAATTGCTTTTCATAAATAAAAATTGACTGAAGTTGACTGAACTAAGTTGGGCTGTAACTGAATGAAAGTACAATGTGCTGAAATGGAATGAAAGTGGAATGCTTATAAGTGGAGATTAATCTAAATTCACCAATTGAACTGATTTAAACTAAGTGTTGCAGTTTTTAGAGCTGTCACCTCACAGCAGAAAAGTTGCCGGTTCTCCTCTCGGCCTTGCTGTGTGAAGTATCAGTGTTCACCCGGTGTACACATGGGTTTCCTACTGGTACTCTCCACAAACCAAAAACATACGTTAGGTTTATTGGTAATTCTAAATTGTCACTAGGTATGAATGGTTGTTTGTCTTGTTTGACCCTGGGTAGCCTTGTGACATCTGACTGCTGGGCACCAGCTCCCTGCAACCCAGAAAGGAGAAGTGGGTAAAGAAAATGGATGGATGGATGGACGAGAACAGCTTGAACTTAGAAATTATGTGTTCATGTCTGCAAAGAAACATGTTTCTGCACCACTTCAGTCAGTGTAGAATATGATGCACTGAAACATGGGACTCTTATGAATAAATATATCGACTCTGTTCAGTACTCAAACACAGTCAGAGTAAATGGAGGAGAATACATATGTTAGCTTTTCATATTTTAATATTTCCCACGTCCCTTGCTATTCTAGCTTTCTGTAATGGCTCCATTCAGTCAGTAATCAAATTCAAATAGGCAAGATTCGGATTTAAGAGTTGAACAAACAACGTAAATATAATTGGTTCAATGATTAAATTGTACAATGGCAAACCATTGAGAAAACTCAAAATTCTTAATGCACAAGGTTGCTTAGTTTTTTAAAAAGCTCAATTACCCTTTTTTACACTGTTGAACACATCAAATGAATGAATTGAAATCAAGTGGTGGTTGGATATATTACGTTTATGTGAGGGTACCACAGAAAACAATAAGCTATTCCTTCATTGATTGATGAGAAAAACATTTTCTGTGTGTATCCACTGTTAGGCCCTATACTGCTCCACTTCAATCATCTCTACTTCCTGTTTCATGGCATCTAAAGTCTCACATTGTTTCGAAATGCGTGACAGCTCCAAATCAAACCACTTCTTTAATCATTGTTCATCATTTTTCTAAGGCTGTTCCTTTTTTGGTTAAACTTCCTTTACCACAGAAACTGCAGACCTCGTGGTTTGTAATGTCTTCAGTCCACAAAGCATCCCAATGGATTTAGTGTCAGACCAGAGTCCCTCGGTTTGTTTCACATCTCTGGAGGGCCTTCTGTCTGTCTCTTGGAATTAGAGTGAGTTTCTTGATACTCTACCCCAGTAAGAGTAGATTTTTTCTGGTCCAAAGCCACCTTAAACCAACTCTTTCATCATTTGAGAGGCAGAATTATAAGCATGTTTTTATTTGCATGCAAGTAATAAAGGTTACATTTCTTTAATTTCTGATTAAATTAGTCTTGTAATCTTGAAACTCTTTTTTGTGTTCCTTCATCAGACCTATAAAAGTTTTTGTGATTTTTTAGGGTATCTTAAACATATACAGGGGTTAGACAATGAAACTGAAACACCTGTCATTTTAGTGTGGGAGGTTTTATGGCTAAATTGGACCAGCCTGGTGGCCAATCTTCATTATTTGCACATTGCACCAGTAAGAGCAGAGTGTGAAGTTTCAATTAGCAGGGCAAGAGCACAGTTTTGCTCAAAATATTGCAATGCATACAACGTTATGGGTGACATACCAGAGTTCAAAAGAGGACAAATTATTGGTGTACGTCTTGCTGTTGCATCTGTGATCAAGACAGCAAGTCTTTGTGATGTATCAAGAGCCAAGGTATCCAGATTAATGTCAGCATTCCACCAAGAAGGACGAACTACATCCAAGAGGATTAACTGTGGGTGCAAGAGGAAGCTGTCTGAAAGAGATGTTATTGTCTAAAACCATGTGTATCAGTTTCATTGTCTAACCCCTGTATGTTAATGAATGAAATAAAACATCATACATCTGACATTTTGAAAACTTGAAAATAATGTTATGCTTAATTTCTTGTAGCATTGTGAAACTTCCCACTGTGTGTGTGTTGTTAATGATGCTCAGCTGCTTCCACATCAAATTTTAGCTCCATATCTGTAAAACTGGTTTCAGACAGTTCACTACTTCTGTGTTGGCTAAAGTCAGTTAGCTGCGATGCTCATCTTGAATTGGATAGACTCCAGATACAATTAGTCATAGAGGCAGATCTAATAAACATTTTGTTCACTTTTCACTATGCAGCATTGGGCAGTAATACATCCTGCTTCTAATGGTTATTTTTTACAGTTGCAACAACTCTAAGTTTAAGCTGTTCTTAAAATGTGTCAGACCACAAATTATATTCAGTGATTGCAGTGAATTAGATCAGTTTCATTGTTGTCATTTTTTTGTTTTCTGTAAAATTATTTTTTCTCAGTAACTGAAAAAATGAATTTGTTTAATGGAGATAACATATCCAGGAGAGCCACACAAAAATAAAGACAATAAAAAACATTTTATTGTACTAATTTTTTAATTATTATTGTTTTTCCAAGTCAAAAATAAAAAAAAGGTACACACAACCTAAATGTTTTGGTTAAATACAGTTTTTAAAGACAAATTATGGATTTTTAAATAGTATTTTTTATTTTTTATTTATTTTATTTTACAATTTTCTCTTTTTAAAAATTATTCTTCCATCGTACCAGCTCACAGTGACACACATTCACATCGGTCTTTTAACTCGTGAATACACACATTCTCCCGTCAGTTCTTTCTTCTTTTTTCCTTTTTGTGATTTTCCGTCGGAGAAATGCAAAGCAGCGTAACTGAGATCTGGTGCATTTTCAGTCTGCAGAAAATAACATTTTTATTTCAGTGTGAAATAGTTACATCCAGCTGTACTGTTAAATATCTAAAACAAAACAAACAAAAACAAATTAGGTGATTTAGTAGCCTTACTTACAATTTCTTCTGGTTGGCTTAAGTTGTTCTGTCTCTGTTGTGGACTGGAGCTTTCTGTACACAGAAAACAGTCATCTGGATATTCAAATTATTCTGACTCATTCTCATGAGATAAAATCTATTTGTTCTTTTATTTTGTTCTGTGACATAAGGTTTACGTAGTATTGTGTACAGAAGGTCTTTCTGAAAAAATAAAAAATTGGAACAATGCTTACCTTGTAATTGTTTACATGATTTTTTATGGTGACAGAGGAAAACAATATTTATAATCACAGAAATGACCAAGCAGATAATTATGACGATCTTTTGCCAATGTTTGTGTTGTGATGTTTTATCTAGAAAAGAAAGAGAATCAATGTTATTGCTGCTGAAAAAGCCACATTGGCAGGCTTGGTGATTCCAATTAAATTTATTAAAGTATACCTCCTTTAAGGTTGGTTCCACTTCCTATAAATATCTGCCCACATGTGGCCACGGCACAGTAATAAGTCCCAGAATCAGAGGAGTGGATCTTCTTTGAAAACTTAAATCTGCATCTCCTCTGAGGGTCAAAAGTCTTGTCACATTCCTCAGGTCTGATCCCATCAGTGTACATGATATCTGGATGAGAGTTTTGTGAACTGGCTTTGAACCAGAACACACTGGGATCTTCTGAACACGTCTGGTTCTCAGAATCAGAGAGAACTGAGCACTGCAGAGTCCCTGGGTCTGCTGGATCTGATTCTGTCAAACGCTGAACAACACTGTAGTTTAGTGTCCTCTCAGCATCTCCTAAAACAATGAAATCAACAAGAGCATCAATAAAAACAGCAATAATAATAAAAGATTGATCTAATTCACATTCTGAAAAGTTGTGCAAACCACCGGTGATATGTATGTTTGCTTTAGTGGTGCATTGTTTCCCATTTTATGCAGTTTTTATAATGATATAACAAATGAACAATTTATCGTTGTGTTTTGAACCCCCAAGCTACAACTCGTGGACCCCAATGTAAGAACTCCTGGTGAAAACTACTTAGTGTGTGACCAACATGTTTTAAAGATCAGTCATGCAATTTTTGTGTAAAGTTGTTAGATTTATTTATTTATATATGTATTTTTTTTTTCAAAGTTTAGAGTTCACTCACTCAACATCTATACCTGCTGTTTGTTGTTTAGGGTCAAAGTGCACTTTGAAGGAGCACTGTTTAGGTAAGTTAAAAATACACTGTAATGATCTAACTACTTTATAAAGATTATTGTTTATGTTGCTGTAGTTTGAGAAAGAAACAGATAAATTGGGCAAAATTGGTCTGTAAAAAAGTGCCTTTCATCTTTTGGTTTAGAAGTCAAAGACTTGGCAAATAAATTCATTCTTGTTTCTTTTTGCCGTGAAATTGTATTGTGATCATTTAAAAAAAAATTATTGTTTGGACTTGATATGAAAGAACTGATACTGTAATAAACTGAGACGTTAAAGTTGAAGAGGATGAAAGTTTTCAGCTGTCATTGTGTCATGTCATTGCTTTAAAATGTCATTCTTTATTCTGTAAATGTGATTTTATTTTTAAAATATCAAGTGATTTGCATAAGATAAAGTGTAGTAGCACTTGAAATGTGAACATTGTACATTTCTGAGAGAAGAGAAATCATGGAAAAAATATTCAATGAATGTTTCTCTAGTTAGCAACAACCAAATCTGCCTTTTTTCCTACATTAGATAATTAGACCTCATAATTACCTTTTATTGACAAATACATCGCACTCCATGTAGATTTAGTCCAGTCTATGTGAGCACAGTGATACATTCCTTCATCCTGTTGAACTGTCTTCAGAATGGTAAGTTCACTTCTTTTATCATCACTTTTTGCACTAAATCTTGAAGCAGGAAACTCTGGTTCAAAGTTTGGGGTTATGCTTTTTTGATGCATAAAAACTAATTTCAGAGTTTCTCCTGCGCTCTGCTTGTACCAGTGAAGCCATGTGATGCTCTGAAACGTCTCTGAAGCAGCACAGGTCAGAGTCACGGGTTCACCAAGAGGAACTGTGATCACTGGAACCAAAGCATCTGCATTAAACAATGACAAACACAAGTGAAACCTCAAAAAAGTTGAATAAAAAACACAATGAAATCACATCAGATCAAAACGAACAATCAGAAATCTTTCAGTCAGCTGTTAAAAGGTCACATTTCAGTCAATGGTACTTACATCCTGAATGAAAAAGAAACAGTGTCGCCCATAACAGAGTCATCTTCACACTGTCCTCATTGACACACCAGATTCTTAAGAACAGGGGAAGTGTGAGGATCCAGACATCATTCGCATCTGATTGGTTACCTCAGAACCTACTTCCTGCCACAGTAAACCTCTGATCTTCATGAAATCTGTGACTGTATTGCTTAATTTTATTTTATTTTTGCGTTTTTGAAACATGGCGAGGCTGGAATTAGTCTTTTTTTAACTGATGAAAATTATTTTGTTAAAGCAGTGTCTTAGATGTAGCACAAAAGTGTGGAGTGCAGATTAACATGATTTTACCCCAAGCTTCACCAGCACATCAGAGTTCTTGCTTATTTTGTGAACGGGCACTGGACTGATTGGAACTTAATCAGATTTCAAAAAGGTTAAAACTTGAATTATTCAGAATAGATGGAGTTCAAAATATTAAAGTCACTGAATTCTTCAGACAGTTTCTCCTGATTTTTTTTTTTTTTTTGTCGCTTTTCAAATACCATTTTGGCTACATGTTGCAAAATTCAGATTACCAGCGCAAGATTTTTCTTGGTAAATAACTTCATCCATGATACAAATGACCCTGATTTAGTTTTTTTTACAGGGAGGTTAGGTAAACCATTCAAAGAAACACACCTATTGGAAGTTTACCAGGCTAGTCATTATTTTTGTAGTTCAGAGTATACAGCAACACAGTTTTGTTAAAAATTCTTGTAGCACTAATTAAAAAATGGTTAAATAGTAATTTGTTAGAAAATTTTACTCTATTAAATGTATTGATAAATATTGACCTCTAGCAATTATGAGAGCAAGTCCATGTTAAACATTGACTGACCTTTTCCCAGAGCAACATGATGAGCTATTAGGTTAGTTGTAGGATGTATTATACCCCCAAGTACAATCTTTAGGACCGAACAGTTAGTTTTATTAAGTCATTTTAGTGCAGCTGAGATGAAGATCTCCAAATCTGAGGCCACAGTCCTCAGTCAGAAAAGGATGGACTGCCCTCTCCAGGTTGGGAATGAGGTTTCTGCCTCAAGTGGAGGAGTTGAAGTATCTGAAGGTTTTGTTCACGAGAGAGAGAATGGAGCATGAGATCAACAAACATGCAATATCACGTTCTGTTTTACTGATGTACTGTGAGGAGGAGCTGAGCTGCAATGCAAAGCTCGTATTTTCCAACAGAACAAGATCACAGACACAGGCAGCTGAGAGGAGATTTCTCCTGAAGGCAGCTCGGCAGAAGTTTAGTTATCGAGGAAAGACAGAGTAGAGCTGCTGCTCCTCCCCATTGAGTTTAAAATATATCTGCACTTGTGCATTAATTTGTAAATTAAGTTTAGGTTCATTATGGTAAGACTTTAGCACAGGAAGATATATGTAAACTCGATGTGATTCCAGATAAAAATGAGTCAGTAACTCCATAACACTAATTATATGTGTATAATCAACTTTATATTGTATATAATTCAATTCTATATGAAACATATTGAGTTGGGCATGCTTTCTTTTTATTTTTACAACTATTGTTGAAGCTTAAAACAAAACCCATAAGTTCATTATTAAGAAATAATCCCCACTGTAGGAGCTCTGCAGTAACACATTCAAGCTGATCTGTTAACTTGTGAAAACACTTTCTTCTGTCTTCAACTCAGTTTGCTCTTTTCCTTTCCGTGTTGTTCCGTGAGAGAAATGTAACGCCGCATTGTTCAAATCCTGTCTATTTTCTATCTGTGCAGAAAAATGTAAGTTGTTTTTTTTTTTAAACATGTTTTCAGTTGTATTGTTGATGATTTAAAAAAGAAACATTTGTGTGATTTGGTGTTATTACTTACATAATCTTCTAGTTGGCTCAAATTGTTTTGTCTTTCATGGGAAGAGTGGGTTTCTAAAGGATTAAAAAGACACATGGTTCTTCAATGTGTTGCTGATAAGTTTAAAATAAAAGCATATTGGTCTCCTTTTTTAATTCGGTCAGCAACACTTACCTTTCAGTTGTTTACATGTTAATCTTTGAATTTGGTAACAAAGGAAAATAATATTCACAACCATGGAAAGGACCAAGCAGATGATGACCACCAGATCAGTTTCTTGAGAATCTTGTGTGTCAACTAGAAATTAGAAACGAAAAACAAAAGATAAATGTTTTTGCTTCTGGGGGAAAAAAGATGATTTAATGATGAAAAAACATAAAAATAAAAACACTTATTTGCAGTTGTATTTGCTTTTCAAGTAAGACCTGTCCACATGTGGCCACGGCACAGTAATAAGTTCCAGAATCAGAGGGGCCGATCTTCTTGGTGAACTTATTTCTGCATCTCCTCTGAGGGTCAGATGTCTCGTCACAAATTTCCTGTCTGTTCTCATCAGTGTACATGATATCTGGATAAGAGTTTTCTGACATGGCCCTGAGCCAGAACACACTGAGATCTTCTGAACACGTCTGGTCCTCAGAGTCAGAGAACTGAACACTGCAGAGTCCATGAGAGTCTGCTGGATGGCCTGGATTTGTTGGCCTCTGAACTACAGTGTAATTTAATGTCCTCTCAGTCTCTCCTGTAACAATAATAATAATAATAATAATAATAATAATAATTTAAATGTAAATTAAACATTAAAGGTGTTGTGTTTTTTCTTTATTGTTTACATAAAAGGCTTTTAAACAAGTATATTAAAATATTAGAAAGTATAATTTAAAAGGTTTAAAGCATCTTTACTGAGTGTACAATTATTTCTCTAAGCTCATATAACTCGCTGGATTTGCACATATTTTTGCTAACTTTAAAGCTTTACTGCTCAAAATAAAATGCATCCAGCAAATCTTCAATTAACTAGTACCTCACAAATTAGATTACCGGTAATTACATCAGTTTAATGTCACATAAACTTTCAGAAAACAGCTCTATAATGAAAATATATTTTTAGAATGAATGAAACTTCAAAATTTTCATATAAAACTTGCTACTAAAACATTTTAATCTTTGTTAACTTTTCTTTTTAACTAAATATTTTCAAGCTTTTATATTAGCAAAGGCTTCTGTTCTTTTAAAATACAATTAATATTTAAGAATAGACACAGGAGGAAATGTCTGTCACATACTAAAACAAATGAAATATATGTTTAAAATGGTCTTTCAAGTGCAGAGGATCTTAATAGCACGACCAGGTGCTCCTTGCAAGATTTCTGACAGAGGAGTGAAAAGATTTATCAGAAGAGTTGTCCAAGGACCACTTGTGGAGAGCTTCAGGAAGACCTGGAATTAGCAGGTACGTTTGTTTCAAAGAAAACAATAAGTAATGCACTGAACCACCATGGCCTGTATGCAYGCTCACCACGCAAGACTCCACTGCTGAAGAAACAGCATGTTGAAGCTCCTTTAAAGTTTGCTGCACAACATTTAAACAAGCCTGTGTAATACTGGGAGAATATAGTCTGGTCAGATGAGACCAACATTGAACTGTTTGGATGCCAGAATACACATCATGTTTGGAGGTCAAATGGCACTGCACATCAGCCCAAAAACATCATACCAACAGTGAAGTTTGGAGGTGGGAACATCATGGTGTGGGGCTSTTTTTCAGCATATGGTACTGGCAAACTTCAAATAATTGAAGGAAGGATGAGTGGAAAAATGTACAGAGACATTCTTGATAAAAATCTGCTTCCTTCTACCAGGATGATGAAGATGAAACGTGGCTGGACATTTCAGCAAGACAATGAGCCCAAACACAAAGCCAAGGAAACTCTCAGTTGGTTTCAGAGAAAGAAACTAAAGCTGCTGGAATGGCCCAGCCAATCACCTGACCTGAATCCAACAGAAAATCTATGGAAAGAACTAAAGATCAGAGTTCATAGAAGAGGTCCACGAAACCTTCAAGATTTGAAGACTGTTTGTGGAAGAATGGGCCAAAATCACACCTGAGCAATGCATGCCACTAGTTTCTCCATACAGGAGGCGTCTTGAAGCTGTCATTGACAACAAAGGCTTTTGTACAAAGTTTTAGATAAATTTCAGTAAGTGTGTTCAATACTTTTTCCCTGTGTCATTCCACATTATTACACATAACTTCATTTCTGGACATTTATGGTTTGATTTCTTTGTATGTATGGATCACTTGGGTTGTTACCAAAATCTGGTGAAAATTTCATGTCATTAGCACCTCTAGTAATATATTTACTGAGAAAAATGGTGACGTGTTCAATACTTATTTTACCCGCTTTATTCTGACATACGATCACTTGGTTTTTCGAGGATTGTTTTCATGCACAACTTTGCACATTTTGGCAGACAGATTCCTCCGTAAGCAAAGTCTTTTCTGTCTTCATGAGTTTTTTTTATAAATGTCTGCTTCTGGATAAATCAGTCTAGATTTTGGAAGCAAAATGTAGCGTCGAAGCACCTTCAGCATAAACAAACACACAGGTGAAAAGATTCCAGCAGTTTGGATGGAGTATGTACAGGCAGTATGTAGAGGCCTTAAAAGTAAAAGAGGTCCCAGTTTTTCTTAGGTGTAATATAGACGGAGAGAAAGATGCTAATGCCCATCAAGTCATGCTTCAAATAAAGGGTTTAAAGCTGAGCTTACAAAAAACAAATAAACTCACAACTGTATGTTTTTTTTAGTATTTTATTACACATATCATTGGCAATCATCCTCAAAAAGCGGGGGAAAAAAGCAAAAACAGCTATATCTCTCTGGGGACATGGCACATTGGAACTCCAGTAAACCCTGTTTGTGTCTGTTTTTCTTCAAATATCTGGCAACCATAAATGGAGTATGGATTTCTTGAATGGTTGTCTCATTACAGTACTTCAGTGAAGTGATCCTGCATTGCCACCCTGAGCATTTCCCCCACCTTATCCCCCCCATGGAAAATGTTCTAGATCCACCACTGTCAWACAGTGTTTTATTGAAATCCTTTGTGACTTCTAATTCAGGCCAATAAAAGACTAAATGGAAAGGCTTAACTCAGTAACAGGGCTGGATTAACATCTTGGCAAAGAGACAATCTGTAGGGAAATTGTTAGTGGCAACCATAGGAGTTGGTTGACATCTCTAAAATTTTAAAGGTAATGGAGCTTATTGTTTTCTGTGTTAGAAAAGCAAAAACTGAACCATCTAATACAAAAGAAAGAYTTGTTCCATAACATTACAGACACTTTACTGCAAAAAAACAACCTTTATGACAGTAAAAAATTGTTTTAACAGTACAAATAATGTTCAGTTTTTGAATAGGTATTGTTTAACAGACAGAAAAATGCCTAAAAATACAAATAACTAATATAGCAAAAACCTGAACTTCACACAAAATCAGTATTTTATTATACGTCACCTGCAGAATTTAAACTTTTGAATGAGCTCATCTTAGCTGGTCGCTGTGTGTTTTTTCACAGATTGTTTAATGGTGGAATATGTGCATTCTCCAGGTGTTTCTCTCCTGTTCTTCCATCTTGTAGATTTCTGTGAGAAGTTCAGCGCTACATAGTTCATTCCATCCTCTTCACCATCCTGCTAATGAATAGAGTTTTATGTCAACAGAAAATAAATCAGACAGTGAATTTAAACTGTGTTTAATTATTTCAACTGAGTGAAAATATAATATTTTCTGTATAAATGTGCTGCAAATACACATAACTTATGTTTAAATATTCATCTGTCACGTTTTTTTTTTACCATGTTGCCAGGCTGATCCACTGTGAATTCATCTAATTTAATACAAGTGAAAGCTGTTCCATCTCCTGTTCGAAGAAATACAAAACTCGTTCAACATTTTACATCAAAAGAGTGCAGGAATGATTTTTTATTATTATYATTCTGCATATTAACACAATAAACATACCTTTGCTATAGTCAGAAGCTCCTTTTTGCTTCCTTCTGGTAAGAATCAAAGTTAAATTTATAAGAACAGAGCAGCCCAGCAGGACTCCGAGAATGATGACCAGGAGCGACACTTCTTGTCCTGGAATTTGACAAATTATACAGTWAATGTAACATAACTGTTACATTTTCAATTGTTGCAACTTCATAGATCTAAATGAATATGAACACAGGCTTCAGTGTTAAACTGATTATTATCTCTTTTACATTAAAACTGAAAAACTCAATGAAAACGAGGAACTCTATTTGACAATTTTAATCCACACCAAAGATATCGCATATATCACAGAAAAATGTTAAAAACAAAAAACATTTATGGACTAAATCAGAAGCTGCTGTTGGTTGCCAACTGTGGTTTATGGGCAAACCATGGAGGTTATTTCTTCTCAGCCTCAGTGTGGGTTTAGTACCTAAAAATAAGCGCATTGTTACTGAATTAARTAAACTTGCTGAACTATGTGAACACCTTATAAACTTAGGACTCAGCACCACAGTTTATTCTGCAGAATTTAAACACWTTTTTTCTTTAAATGGGACCAAAACATATAAAATGTAACATGTTTGTGTTATTTGAGAAATTATAATAAATCAAATATTAGTTTTTTTCTGTAGATTATTATTTTACACCAAAGCATAGTAATAAAGTTATTTTTTGTTCTAATTGTTTTAGACAGCATCATATTCATTGTGCATATTTTTTGTAAACAACACCAAACAGCAAAGGTTGGTCAAAAGCTAAGCCAGAAAAATAGCTCACAGAAAATAATAAAGATAGCAAAGTCAGCAAAACCCAACTGAAGACATATTTACTGTAGCCTAAACCTACATTGTTTCAAAGTTTGTGATACTTTTTATTAAAAATCCATCAATTTTCTGTTAYTTATGATCTGTACGGAGTTTCTATTTGCGAGCATTTCAAGTAGATTTTACGTAAGAAAACTTCAGATGCCTGAAAACAAAAAAAAATCATTGTTTATATCTTTCATAAAAACATACTTATCTCCACTTTAGTTCCCTCTCCAAACAGGATCTGACCACACGTGACGACAGCACAGTAGTAGGTCCCAGCGTCCGAGGACTTCTGAATCATTTTGGACAGCTGATAGATGCAGCTTCTTCTTGTTTGCGGATCACACTTGGTTTTATCCGTGTAAATTAATCCYGGATTAGATCCAGCTCTGAACCAGAATGCTCTGTGCTCACACTGATGGGAGTTTTCTTTCTTCACCGGGAAAAGTGAACAGTTCAGAGTCACTGCAGTGCCGAGGGAGACCGATTTGGTATCTGAACTTTGGTTCACGTACTCAAGATTATTTTGAGGACCTAAAGGTTTCAAAGAGAATATATATATATTAAGTTTTGTTTAGGTGATCACAGAAACAAACAAAACAAAATTCAATTTTTTTTTTTACCTCTCACAGCCAGATGGGTACCATTAACAAAGGCCATCGTGTACGCTGTTCCTGTCTGGCAGAAGTAAGTTGCTTCATCCTCTTTGCTGACATTTTTTATGGTGAGAGAATGCACATCAGCCATATTTACGACACTGAATCTTGAGTTTTCAAACTGTTTTTCAAGATTTACATGGTTAAAACTTCCTTTGGCAACTGTTTGGACCATATATCCATAGTTCAGTTTGAACCAGTAAAACAACCCCTTTTCATGGCCGTAGACTTCACATGTCAGAGTCACRTTGCTACCAAGTTCAACTTCAGTCAAATGAATCTGCTCAAGAAGCTCAAGGGTTTGAATCACAGCTGAAAGAAAGCAAAAGAACAATGACGTGACAACAGATTCTTTTAAAAAGAACAGACTTTTATAGTAACCATTTTTTTCTTACAAGAAGTGAACTCACAGAAAGAACTCAGAAGAACGAAAACAGCCAGTCCTCCCATCACTGCTGCTTCCTTCACACGACTGATGTCCTCCCACTCAGAAGGGAAAGTCAGGTAATGAAAAAATACAAAGCGGAAACCAAGGTGATTGGCTGGAACATAAAAGATGCACATTCTACAATTCTGTGCAGCAAATGACCCATTTACGTTGCATTAAAAAAACATTTTTATATAACTACAGAGCCCATTTTAACACATATGTTAACTAAAAGAAGAATGTTTGACTTTTAAAGGCAAATGGTAGATTTGTTAAACAAAGACAAAAACTTATACTTAAAGAAACAATCAATGTCAGTCTCTCACTTTGATATTTTAAAACTTTATCTCTGCAGGGAAATTTTTTTACAAAACCTGTACTTTCCTGTTTTGATTTTTTTAGCTTGAGATGATCCTGTTAATTACTATTACAACATAAATTACTGCAACAACATAAATTACCATTACAACATAAACCTTCAATGCTACAGCAGATTCATTAAAAGAGTCACTGTAGTTATGGGAGCGCTAAAAACTAATAATCATTGTAAAAAAAGTTCATTTRGGTCCAGTTTTATGTTGTTTTACAAATTCACTTAATTTAATTTTAGTGAGAAAAGCAGGAAACTCTACCAGATCGTCACAGGTAAGCAGCACATCTAATTTTTTTTTATCAACACAAAAAAAGAAAAAAAATCAAATTTACCATACACCATTTTCACGTGATCTAAAAAAAAAACATCTACTCAAATGTCTATTATAATTACAAACATATTTTATAAACTGTATCAATATTGTAAGCATGCATTRAACCCCAGATTTTTCTACAAAAGCTGCAAGTTCTTGAGCTTTATCTGAAAAATCTGGAGCAAAAAAAGAGGTCACCAGAATGATGAACAGATTGTCAAGTAAGTTGCTGCAACCTGACCACACCAGATCGTGAGATAAATCACAGCTTTTAGGTTTGTGCTATATATTTCATAACACATTACATTCCACAACTCATACTTTCCACTGAAGTCATTCAAACCCCAATTAATCAAATTATATCTTATAAGCAGTGCCTATCAAACTTATTCACTGCATTGAATGTTTTATACAGAGCCCACCCAGTGACAATGGACGAAAACACATGCAGAAAAAAAAATTGTGGTCATAAGTTAGTTAATGCGTGGCCTTGAGATAAWTATTGCATAGACTGTTAACATGAACAAGTTTTAATTAACTTTATTTCATTTGAAAATAGGACTGAATGATATACTTTAGTCACTTGCAGCTAAGCATGAAGTAATTCTTAGCACAATGTGTTGAAGCTATAAGACACATGTGACCACTGGAGTTGTCTTTGTCCAAAAAGCTTTATGTTTTAAGCCTGACACTCAAAGCAGGCTCCTCTCTCACCCTGTGTTTTTGCTACAGAAGGACTCAAAGTAGAAAAATCCAAAAAATAATAAGTGTGTGGTACCTTTGAATAGTTAACACAAAAACAGCATATTCATCTGACTCACAAATGTATCTATCACAGAGACATGTGTRGCACTATTTAATGTACGGAAGGACTAGGTGGAATAAATCAGAAGACTAAATTCGTCTACTGGAGCTGTTAGTAATCAATAAAAACAATACAAAAGAACTTTTTTCAATACCATGTATTTTAAAGAGAAAATTAAAGTGAACACCACAAGACAAACATACATAGAACCCAAAATAATAAATACAAAATATACTCAGTACTGCAGTAGATCTTCTATACATTTGTGCACAACCGTCTTAAATTTCCCCACTGGTCAGTACAGTGTCTGACCGACACACATTCAAAAAGTCCATAGTTGAATTGTCCAGATATTTGAGATGACAATGTCCAAGCGCAAGTCGTTTCAGATGAAGAGATGAATAGTGGATTGTGTGTCTGAATGGTAAGATGGAGGGGGAAATGATACAGACCAACAGCCTCCTACCAGACCAGTATGGAAGAAATCTCAGGTTCTCCTGGCCCCAGCCAGTTCTCAGAAGCTCGCCGTCCTTTAACCCTAAAAAGGGTCACCTGGCCTGTATTAAAATAAACAGGACCAGTAAATTACCAGCCTGCTAGTTAGACTTTTTCAATTACATACAGAAATAAATGCAATTATATCCTAAATCTAATCTTTCAGACAAAATAAAACATTGATCTCATTATCATGTTGAATTTAAGAAATTAAATCATATGACAATTGATCAACAATTAGCATTGGCTACCACCACCAAGATGCTAAACAAAACAAACAACGTCTTCACTCCTCACCAATTCCATTTATAGTTCAGTGCATGACAGCTTCACGGCTCCAAGCTCACTGGATGTTCAGATCTACATGATTTTTATATTGTAAGTTTGAAAAACTGCAGAACAAACAAAGAGATGAACTGATTGTTTGGAAGCACCAACCTGTAGCTCCTTTGTCTCCAGCTCTCCCCCTCACACCTGACTGGGAAAGCTGGAGCAGGCCCAAATAACCACCTCAGGTGCGTTAATTGGCTGAATGCACTGTGTGACTGACTGTCACTCTAACCAATGGAGCAGCAAAGGCGGGACTAAGGGCAGTTTTTACCCCRGGTTACACATGACAGCTCAAAATTATCTTGTGGCCACGAGTTTATCTTCATGGCCACACATTTTTATCTTGTGACCATGTATACTTTTCTATCCAATGTCACCATGTGGGTTTCGTAGTTTTACTCCATTTCTATTTAAATGAAAGATCAATATAAATTGCCAGTTCTTTTTTTTTTTTTTTTACAAAAAATAAAATTAAATTCCTCTTCAGTGACAAAGTGAAAATTAATCATCTAGAAATATTGGCAATTAAATACAGATATGCAAAGTAAAAAAGAGCTTCATAAATATTATCCGTACACATCAGTATTTAGAACACTTGTCTTTTTTTTGTCCCTCTCACAGAAAACTTAGAATGATGAAGATCCTGATTAACAGCTGTTTTATGCACCATCTGTCTTTCAGAAAATTAAGGCTAACAGAAAAAACGTTGGCTCGAAATGCCCCCCAGGGACCCCTTTTTTTAACCACGCCCCCTTTTCATTGTGACCATCAAAGTTAGGGGCACAGAAAACTTAAATGGCAATAACTTTGCTATAAACTAACCTAATTTTATAAACGAGGTATCAACAGATTTGTATTGATTAGCTCTTCAATTTCAATGACATTTCATTGAACAAGTATGCATGCGATGATATCATCAGGGGGTCAAACTGTCACCACCCCTAACAGAAAATGAACGATTTCATTTGAAGTTTTTCTTTTGATTCTGGTTGCTATTTTGCTTATTTTGGGTTCAGTTCTGACCATTTTCAGAAAAATGTTTTTGTTGTTTGTTAAGCCACGACCTACGAATTAYTTAAAGAGAAATAAACCGGTGTGTTCCCACATTGTCAAGTGTCCTTTAATTTCATGGCTTCCCACACTTGAAAAGGAGGACTTGTAGACTTCAGGATTTCACTCAAACCTTTATTTTCACCAGTGAGTGTGAATCAATGAATAGGTGAAAAACCTACAAAACACATACAAAACTTTTTAATATACATTTTAAACATTTGGCTCAAAGTTAATAATTTATCTTAATTCCATTTTTAACCTTAGACAACATGTCCTTCACAATTTTAACCATGAAATCAAGTATTAAATTACTGAATTTTGTATTTGCATTTTTAGAATTACATTTTTCTTTTCTTCAGGAAACAAGTTTTTTTTTCACATTAAACATCTTAAATATGCATTT